GGGAAAACATCGAGAAACACCATTTAGAGTCATTTCGGAGCGTCTGGAACACGTTTCTCTTCGAAATCAGCACCCTTGTTCTTGAGTTTACGGCCCATCTTCAAAGGCCGTAAACCCGTTTACGGTCGCACACTCATCGAATCTTTAAAGACCGTAAACCCCAGTTCACGGTCGTAAACTCTTCACGACCGTAAACCCTGTTCACGACCGTAAACTCCCTTTATGACCGTAAACCCCTGTTCACGGCTATACACATCTCTTGAGCAGTAAAAGACTCGTTTTCTGATTCAACCAAGTTCCGGATCCCGTTAAGTGCCACGTACAACAACCCGAGAATCTTTGTTTCCAGTCGTCGGTTTCACACAACAAAGGTGAGTTCATACCCCTACGCTTTTACGATTTTTAATGTTTTCAGGGGGAATATAAGCCAAACTCAAAAGGATTTTATTAAGTTTTTAAACTTATTAATACAATTCAACGATTTACACGCTTAATAAAATATTTAGATATTTTATCCCTTTTCTACTATGTTGAGCATAAGGGCCGCCTTTATTTTTGAAAACATAACTTCATAGTTTTCAGAATAATTTTACAAAGAAATTTCGTATCATTTCAAGTAAACTATAATGGGTATAGTTTGGGAGATTCAATATACAGCTTTTACCAATTCAGATTTCATTCATGAGTAAATATATAAACTATGACAGATTTAGTTATGATATATATTTTCATGGGAGTATAATATTTAATGATTATTTAAGTATAATTATTATATTATATAGCATTCAACGGATTCAAATACCAGAGAATAATACTGAATTACATGTAAACTAGATTATACAGGATTGTGAGACTCTACTTCGAACCTGTACTCTTAGGGGTACTTCATTAAATCCTATCCTAGTATAACCAGAGTCTCCTGGAGGGAGAGCGTGCGATTTGTGAATAGATCTATTCGGGACTGACAGTCCCACACCTGAACTGCTAGCTACAGTTAGGCAGGCATGCCTGGGGTGACAAATGTCATTTAACTGACGCCTGAAGAACGTCGAAAAGGTCGCATTGGTCATATCAAACATGGTTATACGACTCAGAATAGTATAATCTAATCATTTGTTTACAGGATTTCAATCTTCATTAGTTTTATTTTAAGTAATGAAACTACTTTTACCTACTGATAGTAATCAGGGTTTCCAAGAAGATCAATGCATAATCAATATAAGTATGGTAGATACTTGTATTTTTCGAATTAGAACGGATAATTCAATAACCTGCATTTAGGGAAAATATGGGTTTTTCCCAGAATAACACCGGTATTTTTATAAACTGATGGTTTATTATTCAACTAACGGATATTCATATTAACTCCACGACGCCTTGGTTTATGCGCAACTAGTATGAACTAAGAAGTCACGGAAGGAATGGGTTTAATCATACTTTTCATAAGAAAATAATGGATTTTCTTGAGGAACACTTCTCAAAAGGATTAGAGAACGGTTTCTTTTAAAACTAAATGCTTATGAACTCACCAGCTTTATGCTGATACTCTCCTTCAAAATTGTTTGTATTCTCAGGATTTTAGGTAAACAGGTACACCTCCCGAAGCTTTTGAGAAGGTTGTCTCGTATCGTGCTGCGACTCCTGCCTTTTTCCGTATCTACTATAATGTTCGAATATGTAATGTCTAAATTCTTATGTAAAACTTATACCTATTAATGCAATGGTTGTTTGTACTTTGATTACTATAATGCATGTGTTGTGATACTTACATGACGTCCTCCGCCCCCGAACGTTTCCGCCGTTCCGCTTTGGGGTGTGACAGATTGGTATCAGAGCATTGTTTATAGTGAACTCAGTATATCAATCATAAAAGATATACAACTATAAACACATTGGGATAAAAACACTCTGACCAAGAATTATACTTTAAAAATATATCAATATTTTATAAAAGTACAAATATTTTTCGGAATATGTATATACTAGAACAAGAATCACGAGAGGAACAAAACAAAAGTATTTGGATGTTGGACATTACAGTTAAACCTGAACAGTTATGTAATCATATATGGAATCAATATAGCCTGATCAACTATATTCATTTGAGATATGACCAACATGTGTTTGGGAGTGATTGTAGTGTTGCAACAAGTCGTGAGTTTCTATGCTCACGTCGTGAGCTCAGTCGGATTAGGGTTTGTGACAGCTGTATCTTCGGAAGGTCGTAACTTTCGCATACGAACTCCGTTTTTGACGTTCTTTATATCCACACGTAGGTATTTATGAGTAATACAACTCTCTTTTAGACTCCAATAGCTAATGCTAAGTCTATTTTAAATTCCTTTTATTATATAGATTTATAGTGTTCGGTTTATCATAACTTCTTCATGCGAAGTCAGATTCAGACGTTCTCTATATTTTTGGAATCATATGGACGTATACTTTGAGTTGTATCATAAAGAAAGTTCATAATTGTATTAGAATTTATCATGAACTACATAGTAAGTTTATCACATTACTAGTTTAACAACATCACATTACATTGGCATAATCACATGTGATTGTTATTGACCTATTTTGACTAGTGTTACAGGTGGAGGGGCAAGATACTTTAAAGCCCAAAAAATATGGTGGCCTTGGAGTGAGTGGGTTGTCTTAGAACTTGCAATTTATCCTTACTAGTAAATTGGCTTTGGAGATTAAAATTTTATCAAGATGCACTTTTTAATACATGACTTTATCAGGCCAAAAGAATAGATCTAGATATAATAATAAAAAAGATACCATATGGTATATATCACATACAATTAACATCTATATTCTTATAGAAATTAAATATATTTCTACTTATCTTCCTACCCATATGAAATTGTGACATGTGTCAAAGTTGGATAAAATTAATAATATTTTAATACACTTTTCATTATTTTAAATTGATAAGAAGATATGTAGGAAAAAAATAAAAGGATATTTAATTTCTCGTATTCTTATCCATCATCCTAGATTATGTTAGAAAATTTGCAAGCACCAATTCACCAAAAGACATTATGAACTCAATTAGTTCTACTAGTATTTGGATTATGTGACAACAAATCATATAAAACTGAAATTTAGGAAAAAATCGACACTTCTTGGCAAAATTAAAGATGTCTTTGAAAATAATCTACATGATTGTAATTGAAACAATAACTTGTCAATGCATGGTTTTAAGAACTAATAGGTAGAATCGAAGATATTCTTTTTCTAATTTGCCTCGGTGTCTTTCAAGATATTCGTTTCTTGATTTTCCTCGATGATTGCCTCATTCTCCTGCTATGTCGATCACATTCTCCTAATGTGGCGATCACATATTCCTCTCCTTTTCTACATCTTTTGGAGTTTGGCCTATATTTTTGTGATTTTCCCTAAGATTTGTTGAAATTTTAGTGGGGGGGGGGGGGGGGGGGCGCTCGTAACTTTGGGCCTTAAGCAGTCGCCTAGGTCTCCCCCTTTTGGTTCGGCTCTGCTTTGTGCTTTGTTATACTCTTGTATACTTTGACATTTTAAAAATTTTAATTGTTAAAGACTATAATGGTTAGGACCTTGTCTGAATTATTTTTTAATTAATTAAAAACCTTTTAAAAAGATTATTTAAAATTTCCTATATGATAGGGTCTATGATCCATAAGGAATGGGTGTTGTGGATGGCATTATCCACTATAGTAGGGAGGGATGGCTTAAGTGGAGAGTACATGAGTTTTATGTGACAAGAAGATCTCGTTGAAACTAAATAGAAGATTCCTAAGGTGGTTATAAGACAAGTTTTTGGCTGATTAAGAAGGGGCATGAGAGAAAATGGAGGTCGTTGAAATGAGGATGCTAGTCTGCTACAATCATATGGTATAACTTTTTGGATATGGTACCAAATACGACAAATAAAAATTTGTTGGGGGTAGTGTTGGTTATCAACAAACTGTGGGAAAGAAATATGTACATTGAGACAACTGATGAATGTGATGTGGAGGGTGGATGTGGTTGGTCAATTTACGTTGACGAAAGGATGCATACAAAGTATGTGAGGAAATAGTATGAGGCTATATCTAAAGAAGTTAGCACTTTCGGAAGACATGAACTCAGATGGTATGTAGCCTTATAATGAGGGTGGTGGAGTAGTATATGCACTAACTTCTTTTTTAGTGCTCGTGTACTTCACTCAATCTTTTCCTTCTTATTTGTGTATTAATCTTTACCTTCTTATTTATGTATTTATTCGGTAATCACCTGCTCAATCATGTTTATTTTGTATTCAGTTTTAATAAAATACCCCACAAATAACTATTTTTATGTATGTGTTCGGTAACAAGCTGCTCAATCATATTTATTTTGTATTCTGTATTCAGTTTTATTAACATACCCTACAAATAACTTTTTTTTAACATACGGAACAATAATTGATTCCACAGGCAGACATCATCATTATCATTATTGATGCATCTCTAATAAGCAATGTTTTAAAAACCGGTTTTTTAATTGAACCGGTCGGGGACGTTTTCCGGTTCAACCGGATGGTCAAACCGGTTCTATATTTTTACATGTTTTTAATTATCCTGCATACATTGATTACAAAACTTGTCATCTTTTTAGTATTACAAATGTAAATAGAATGCAACATATAAAAACAATCATTATAGAAGCCAAAAATCAAACAAAGAAGCCCAAAACAAACACAAAAATCAAAGACTGTCTGGTTCAATCCGGTTCAATTCAGCCGTTTGAACCGGTTTTTTACCAAAATCGGCCGGTTCAATACGGTCAGGAAATTGTCATAAAACCGGTCCAAATTGAACCGTCCTCACCTCCGGTTCCCGGTTCGAACCGGTTTTTAAAACACTGCTAATAAGTATTATGTCAATATCATGTAACAACTATTATATATAATACATAAACGATATATAAATCTATACAAAGATATGAGAACACAATCACAAATCGCAGAAGTTTCATAAAATGATTTAAAAAGTTGCACCAAAATCATAAGAATTAAGATACAATTTTAAAGAAGCCAATTGTAAATATGTAATCACCTTTAATTTTATTACCCAAAAACTTCTGAATCCCCAACATTTTCCTGCAAAATCCTGTCATCACCTATAAAGTTATCTGAATATTTGCATCTAACACCTCTCTATATTCATATTATATCTTAACACTGACTGAGCTGCACATCTATCTATAATAGCCTACCCAAAATTTGGATTCCGTCTTCACCCAACAAGTGAAGTGATTCTACCGATCGTCGGCATCGGCTATTCCTGCAAACGAAAACGGTTTGAACTTAAAACCATCTCCGGAATAGAATTTGTTCTGGAATTCCACCCAATGAAGCCTCAATGCATGAAGAAAGGCACTTAGGGTTTCCATCATCAGTAGTATAAATCCAGTCGCAAATGCAAAAACCACTATCCCCACCATTCGTATAATCACATTATCATACCTACAAAAATTACTCAGGTTTTGAGTAAATTACATTTTTGGGCCCTGAGTATAGCCATTTTTTGCAATTTTAGTCCTCAAATGTTTTCCCTTGTAATTTTGATCCTTATTTGAGCTTTACTGTAAAACGTTTTTAGTCCATGCTACAAATAATACAACAGCAATTTTTTGGACCAAAATATTAAAAATCAGCTATACTCAGGGACCAAAAATGTAATTTACTCAAAAAAAATATATAGTCGGAAAAGCTTACCCCCAAGCAAGGAGGAGAATTTTCTCATAGAATACAGTGGACAATTCTGAGTGGGCCAAACTGTAACAACGAGAAAGAACGAGGGTAAGATTGTAAATTTTGTAATTGACAAGAATGAATATAATGTTTTGTACCTTAAAGCCCATAACCGAAGGTATGAAGCTGTGTTGGAAACTGAACCAAGTACAAATTCAATGGAGTGTATCATTTGATGTACAAAAACCTCACTGAAATTAAATTCTTCAACATGATGTCTTCTTGCTGAATCTGGTTCATGATCTTCCATATCTGTCTCGGAAGCTTCTAGAATGTTGTATGAACCCCCGTGAAATCTCTAAAATGTACAAAATTTAAAAATGTAAAAAGAAAAAAAGAGAGAGAAGAATGAATGGTTAAGATTGTAGAGTAGAAATCGAGCACCTTAAAATGAAGTTTTTGTAGAATAAAAGGTTTGGGGAAGAGCATCCATGGAACTGCAACAATGGCTGACACCAATAACATGATCTGAAGCAGCTTTTGTCCCCAAAACAGCTCATTCTCACCAAGATCATCAAAGGGACTTAAAAACATGTAAATCATGACATGATAAAGGTCTGCTTTTGATCCAGTGCACCACTTTATGATAATGAGAAGAGAAAGGTACCCAAAGAGGCTGTTTAAGAAGATCATCTGTGGTATAAACTGATACCTGATGTCTAATGAATTGTTGAAGAAAATTGAATTGAAATAGCTTAAAAAGATTCCAAGGTTCATTTGTGTAACACCGAATAAAATAGACATTTTCATTTTCAGAGAGTTTAAAAAAGGTAACTCTGATCGGCTTCCACGCCAGCTAGGATCCACACCAAATGGATACGTGTCACCATATTTGATTAAACCAGTTGTATATGCATCACTGTTATTTAACATACAGATATCATAAATAAGATGTTGAGCTTATATTATGAACACATTGAAAGGAAAAAGAAAGAGGAAAGCTGAATTTAAATTTTAAATACCTGCATGAGGTGTCACGACATTTATATGCAGATGCCCCAAATATGTGAAAAGGAACAGAGAAGAATTCATTGTATATTAAACCACAGTAAATGGAAAATATGGACATTAAAAGGAGTACATAACGCCCACCAAATAACATCTCCATGAAACTCCCAAGTTTCTGCAGATACAAACAAAATTTTTTATTATATAAAATACCAAATGACAACCAAAAAAAAAAAAAAAAAAAGAGGTACCTGAGAAGTAAGCTTTGTTTCATGAGTTATGAGAAATAAAGCTCCAAACAATAAGCAAATTCCATGACCCCAATCACCAAACATGACAGCAAAAAGAAATGGAAAAGTAATTACAGTAAAAACTGTTGGATTTGCTTCCTGATATTTAGCAACCCTGTAAAAAGTAAAAACAGTCTGTTACTAATATAATTAAATCAAAAAGTATTTTAAGATGTGAGAATGAGATTTAGGTGTACCCATATGCATCAATAATCTCTTGATATGCGTATGTAAATTGGTTAGTTCTGATATATGTTGGAGGTGATTCCACAGCTTCCATTACATGAAATATTATGCCAACTTGTGAGTTGCTATCATATGTTGCACGTTGCAATGCATCCTGAATCTTTATATAAATAAATTACTTCCATCAAAACCTTTAAAAAAAAATAATAATAATAATAATAACCTTTTCCTGAAAAATAAAAGAAAAGTACCTGGGACTTAGCAAATATTGGACACCATCCTTCTCCAACTAGACACTTTTTTGTTACATCAAAATCCAACATATTCAATGTGTCGAAAACAGCTTTCTCTCTTTTAACCTGCCAACATTATCAAATCCTTAAAATATTAAAGAAAATTCAAGTCTTGTATATGACATTTTTTAAGTTTATTGTTAACAATACAAGAAATGAAGAAAATGCACACCTTACCATGGTCATCCATGTCAACAAGTGTAATCCAATAGAATGTAAAGCAGCATTACGATGACGAATCCCAGCATCTAAAGTGGTTTCTAGATCCAATAGTCGTGACAAAATCTGAACAAACAAATAAAAAGTAATATTATGTGATTTATGTTGCATAATTTTGGGATAGAATGACAGATGGAATGTTAATTAAACAATAAACAAAACACCTCTTCAGTTATTTGTCTCTGTTTTGTTAGGTCTTCTGGAACAGGATAGCAGTTTGCATCAAATGCTTCACAGATTTTCAGAATTTTTGTTCTTGAATGCTCCCCTGAGAAGTACACTACAAATATAGTCTTCTCCACCTTCAAAAGAATCATTGAAAAGTGAATGACTGTGTGTGTGTGTGTGTGTGAGAGAGAGAGAGAGAGAGAGAGAGAGAGAGAGAGAGAGGTGAGCAAACCATTTCAGTTGATACAGGATCCAGGATTGGTTCATCTGCATCTGCTTGATTGAAAAACATATTTCCTCTTGTAGCACGAAACAGTGTTCTCTCAAATAATAACATTTTGGATTTTACGATAATGCCACTGATAAATCTAAGACCTGATGGATTTGATGATCCTGATTGCATTTCTTGATCAAGAAAGGAGACTGAATCTTGATAATCATGGGAGAACACGTTCTCATCTAATTCTCTCTCTTCCATAACTTCATGACTCTTACTTGAAACTAGAAAGCCTCCTGCCTGAAGAAAGAATAATAAGTTAATAACATTTACAAATTTGATTACTTTATGAAATTAAAGGTTTTGGTTATATATACCTTCTGTAGCACCATCTTGAACTCTAGAAGCTCATTATATGTTTGTTGTAGTTGGTCACTGTTGGCATTCATCTCAAGAAGCTCATGTTCATAATTAGCTAGTTGTATCTCTAATCTTTCAAGATCAATATCTGGTTGTATTGTAGGAAGAGATGAAGATGATAAACCAGCCTTGTGTATCTGATCTTTGAAGAAACGAAGCTTTCTTGACATCTCAGCACATCTTTTTACCTGATAATTGTAGCACAATATGGTAATTAAGGATTTAAGGTTACTTTGTGCAATGCATTCAACAATCAACAAGTGATATCAACTACTGATAAAATATAATCTTTACCTGATTTACAAATATTCTCTGAAAGGGGCTTTTATCAGCATTCAACTGCCAAGGATAATCAGAACCAAGAGATTAGTAATCTGCCTGATGTAACAATGATCCATAACTTAAAATCAATTTACAAACTAAAATATGAAAACTAATAGATAAAAGCAACTTGATATTTGGAATTGCCTTGTAATGCCAAGAATTTAAATAAACACATGCAGACTCCGCATCTGAACTCTTAACATTTGATTGTGAAAAGAGAGTATCAACTTCAAAAGTAGGTTGGCACTTGTCTTAATGACTCCATCTCTTTATAAGTTTATATCACATTTATAACTCAAACATGTTATTAGTCTATGCTTGAAGTAATTACAAAGAAATTTAGGTTACCAAACCACCATAACCTAAAACATAGCATGCCTTTTGCTATTGGATACAGAATTTTAAGTAATTCATACAAAAAGATGAATACATAGCAAAAATCCAAGTCGTTCTTAAACAACACGAAGATCCATCACCCTAACCAATCACTGCTAGAAAAGAAAATAAGTAAAATCAAGTCCGTCTAGCAAAATGTGGTATTGAGGAGTAATACATATGCATGTATAATTATAAAGAGGGATTCGGATTCAGGAGCATACGTCACGGAACTGTAGAAGGCCGAGTTCGCCGAGATAAGAGATGGCGCGGTGAGCAGACTCAACGGGGATGATTAACTGAACCGATGTCATCTTCTCCGACCGCATCATATCCATCTGCGGCAAATTCTTTAACAGCTCCATAATTATTGTTCCTACTGCTGCTACACTTACGCAACCTACGGATTGAATGAATGCTAAACTTCTGATCTTGAGGGTTATATTTGAGATCTAGACACCATCAATTCATATTCTATGTTCCATACGGAAACCCGCGTTACAATTCACTGTAATTTGTCTGTTTTCTTATTTTGGGGGTAAAGGTAAACCCCTAATCCTCTATGAATTATGATCACGTACATATTCATGATGTCGGTGTCGAATTGGTTTAATAGCTGAGATTTTCTCATGTGATTTATCAAATATTGAACTATTAGAATCATAGTTCTTTTTTACTTAATAAAAAATGGAGGCATGACTTAATCTATACAGACATATAAAAGCATTTTTTTTTTTAAATTAATACATATAACATGTCTTAATAGGTTACGTGTAAGAAATGAGCATTTGTCTATTAAGACACCATTTTTTTCTTTCTAACCTTTACGGGTCGGATTTACGTTAGCCCAAGTAAGGAGCATACCTACAACCATATGGCCCATATCTCTTTTGGTTTGGGCTTTATCCTACTTCTTTTTGTTGATCCTTTATCATACTTTTCTTCTATAAATAACTAAAAACCACCACTTTAAAAGTAAATACTCACTTAAAAACTCAATCCCTCTTGCTTCTCGAATATGGCTGAATCAATTATAAATAACAATCAAAGGAGATAAACCAAAACAGGAAGCTAGCATTCTGCTTTGGATTTATAGACTTATACCCCCACTATAGGAACGTTATTCATTATAACCTTTTGATACATGGCAACTCAACAAACCAAAAACTTTAAAGTTTCCTGCCTCCATTATAATAAAGTTTTTTCATAAAGCTTATTTATGACTCTTACAGCACTTTTTAATTTGTAATCAATGAGATAATGGAATAAAATACAACTAAATTTATGAAAAAACTCTATATCAAAGCTTGTAATTGGCAAGCAAATCGTAATAGCTTATTTTGATATTTTGGAGCTTACTTGACCCAACACCCAATAAGGGTTTCAAATATATGATTGGAATGCTTAATTGTATTCAGTAAAATACGTGCCTTTAAATAGGCTAATTACACAGTTAGATGATATCACATTTACAGGAGAGATAACAGAGACTCTTACAAACTATTCTACATATACAACAATACTTTGACTGTGTATTTAAAATACGACTATAATCCAGTTATGTTGACCCAATGGATTCGGATGATCCATTCTCCTTAATACGCCCCCGCAAAATGGAGGATCCGTCAGATACACCGATCTTGGATCTATTTCGCAGGAAAGGAGCTCAAGACAGAGGTTTGGTGAGCATATCGGCAAGTTGATCATGAGAATTAATGTGAAGGAAACGCAAAAAACCACCTGAAACTTGTTCACGAACAAAATGATAGTCAAGGGCAACATGTTTCATGCGTGAATGATAGATTGGATTGGCACAGACATAAGTAGCCCTTGTATTGTCACAAAATAAAGTTGGAGTGGTTTTGACAGCTATTCCAAGTTTATGTAGTATATTCTTTAACCAAATAAGTTTTGTTGAGGCATTGGCTAATGCCTTGTATTCAGCTTCAGTGGATGGTTGAGAAACTGATTTCTGCCTTGTAGACCTCCAAGAGACTATATTGGACCCCATGTATAGAATGTAAGTTGTAGTAGACCGACCTACATCATGAATGCCACCCCAATCGGAATCCGAGAATGCTGAGAGAGTGAGAGGAAAGTTGTGATTGAGAAACAAACCATAATAGATGGTACCTTCTAGATATCGGACGATACGCTTGAGAGCTTGCTAATGAGATTGGCGAGGAGTGTGCATGAATTGGGACAATTTGTTTATGGTAAAGGATATATCAGGTCGTGTGAAAGCCAAATATTGAAGAGACCCAACAAGTTTATGATATGGAGTAGCATCAACGATTGGTGTGGAGTCAATGACAGATAAGGATCTGAGGTACTGAGAGGGGTGGAGACATCTTTGGCACCCTCCATGTGAAACCGGTTTAAAACATCTTATACGTGCCAATGTTAAGATAGGAAAAGATTGAAATGAGTGGGAATGACTTCCACACCAAGGAAATGATGAAGCATGCGAAGATCTTTTAGTGAGAATTTGTTGCTCAAGGTTGTGATGAAGTGACTGAAAAACTTGGAATCACTTCCAGTAAGGACAATGTCATCAACATAGACTGGGAAGTAGCATGTGATCTTGTGATGGTTGTAGATGAACAAGGAAGCATCAGCTAATGATTTGGTAAATCCAAATTACATAAGAAAGGAAGTCAACTCATTGTACATGCTCTAGGAGCTTGTTTGAGGCCATAGATGGATTTCTTTAATTTGCAAATGTGATTGGGAAATTCTGGATGAGCATAGCCAGGAGGTTGAGTCATAAAAACTTCTTCATGCAGAGTTTGCAGAAAGGCATTGTTGACATCAAGTTGTCTTAATGGCCAATTGTTAGAAAGAGCAATGGAAAGGATGGTATGAATGGTTATAGGTTTTGTGACAGGGTTGAAGGTATCAAATTAATCCTTGCCATACTGTTGAAGAAAGCCTTTGGTAACAAGGCGGGCTTTATATTTGTCAATAGAGCCATCAGGTTTTCGTTTGACTCTATATACCTGTGACATCCCCATTTTCACGGCCAGAAAAGACCAATTTGTTTATGCTTTATTTTAAAAATCAGAGTATCCTTTTAAAGGAAAGTGTTGCGGAATTTGTTCCTAGAAAAACATGATAAATATGTTATCAAGGCATTTCCGAAGAGAGTCATGGGGAGTACGGAGGTAGTACTCAAGACCACGGAGAGGATTCAGCAAGTCCTGAGCAGGCTCCAGACTGCTCAGCGTCGGCAGAAGAGTTACGCCGATAACCAGCGTTCAGATTTGGAGTTTCAGGTAGGTGATATGGTCCTCCTGAAGGTTTCACCCTGGAAGGGTGTTATCAGGTTTCGGAAGCGGGGAAAGTTGGGCCCCAGGTTCATTGGTCCGTTTAGGGTTTTAGCACGGGTGGGCCGGGTTGCCTATCAGTTAGATCTTCCAGCAGAGCTCAGCCAGATCCACAGCACGTTCCGTGTTTCTCAATTGCGAAAGTGCCTAGTGGATGATTCAGCAGTGCTACCCCTTGAGGACATTCAGATTGATGATAGCCTGAACTACATCGAGAGGCCCGTGGCGATTTTAGATCGCAAGACGAAGGAGCTGAGAAACAAGAGGGTAGAATTAGTGAAGGTGTAGTGGTAGCATTACAAGGGTTCGGAGTGGACGTGGGAGTCCGAGGAGGAAATGAGGGAGCATTACCCAGAGTTGTTTTCAGAGACAGCAGACTTCGAGGACGAAGTCTAAGACAAGTGGGGGAGAACTGTAACACCCGGTCTCAGGTACGCATTTAAACTTAAGTCAACTTCATATTTGTAACACCCCAAGTTCAGAAGCAAGAGTTCAGGGATGTAAAGTGTTATTAGAAGGATGGACTCGGCGAGTTGGAGCTGTGACTCGTCGAGTCGGAGCGTGTGAAGAGCACGTGATAAGTGGCCTGACTCGCCGAGTCGGCGGCTGGACTCGACGAGTCAGTGCTGGAAGAGGAAAACCCTAATCTTAGGGTTTGCACCCTATTTAAAGGACTTAATGTCCTCCCCTCAGCCCCCTTACTACCCTTTGAGATCCAGAAACCCTAAAAGCGTGAGTGAGAGTCCTTGGAAGCAATTTGGAGCTTAGATAAGTGATTTTGTGAAGAGATTTTGAAGATCAAGGAGATTTGTGGAGATTCGGCTTATTCTTCAGTGGGAGGTCGTTTTGGAGGTAATGAATCGTTATCCTTGGCATTCTCCTTTCTAGATCCATCTTTCATGGAGTTTTAGGGTTTGTTTGGAGATAATATGATGAGATCTTGGTGCATGAGTTAGATCTGGAGCTGAAACTCCAGATCTAAGTTCTATTTGGATCAAATATGCTGAAAGCCCTTCTAATTGCTATGCAAAAGCCATTCCCCATGAGTTAAGTTCTTTTCTAGCTTGGTTTTTGGAATTATGGGACATGAAGCACGTAAAGGTAGCAACTTTATGTTGCTAAGGCACTCTAGGGACCCAGATCTATTGTTTGGAGCAAAGGAGTAGATCTGTATCTTTCGATTATGGGAATACCCGTATCAACTCGACGAGTCTGGGAGATGACTCGGCGAGTTGGGCTAGGGCTTCAGGCATTGAGTCGCGTAGTGACTCGGCGAGTCGCATGGGTGAACTCGGCGAGTCATATGATGATGAGCTTGGACTCGACGAGTGGAAGAACAACTCGGAGAGTTTGATGAAGATTGTCGTGGACCCGGCGAGTCCGTTCTTGGACTCGGCAAGTCAGAGTGCAAACCCCCCCAACCTCTTCTGGTTAGATTCGGATCAGTGAGTTGAGTGGTGACTCAGTGAGTTGGACAGGATAGGACTCGGAGATTGTTGAACTCGACGAGTCATGGGGTGACTCGGCGAGTTGAGTCGTGTTATGAGAGTTTCCTGAGTTTAGGAACTCGGCGAGTCAATGGGTTGACTTGGCGAGTAGGGTCAATCAGGAAGGTTTGACCAGTTTGACCTTCAAGGGTATTATGGTAATTTTTGGATATTTATGTCATTGGATCATTGATGATTATAGGTGTTGGAGTCGGAGGCAGTGCTTCGGGTTTGTGCTTTCGTGATTCGGTTCGGCAGTTGCAAGGTGAGTTATCCTCACTTTATCAACAGGGTCTACGGCACCAAGGCCGGCCCTTTATCGGATGGAAATCCGGGTATTTTTTTGATATGTTATTGAATAGCTAGATCTGTATCCTGGTATATAGGGTAATGTTATGTTAGTAACCTGGTTAAGGTCGGTACCCTGGTATATAGGGTAATGCTATGAGTGACCCGGTTAGGTCGGTATCCTGGTTAGGATGTTGTTATGCTGCATGATCTGATAGATTCGTTTGTTTGGCTAAGGATTGTTACGTGATTAATTGTTTTATGTGCACATGGTTGTTTGACTGGGGTTGGGTTGAGGCGGGTCCTGCTTTGTGCTGTAGGCCAACATACCCAGGGCGGACCGGATAAACCGAAGGCCCAGCGAGCGGTCCGGATAGGCTGAAGGCCCCAAGAGGGCAGTCCAAAAGTGTCGAGGCTCGGAGAGTGGACCAGGCCGACTGAAGTCCCGGTGCGGGCGGACCAATCACACTGTAGACTCGATATACATGGCTAGACT